ACACGCTTTCCATTCACAATTCGTTCATTTGACATTTAAAGCTGAAGAAAGAAAAAGGGGGTGATGTTGTAAAATGTTAAACAGTATTTTTCAAAAAGTGTAAATATTAGTTAATCTGTATTATAATTTTTGTTGTCAAAAAAACATATCCACCTTCAATTGTTTTTATGTTTTTCTCTTGTACTTAGAAGACAAACTGAAATGAAACATCTAAGCATCGAAAGCTGCTATTTTCAATAACTAATATTATTGGCAATGACGACTCATATTAATTATTTCAATTGGATAATGCCAATATCTCCACCAATACCAATATTCAAAAGCCCTTTCAAGTTCTATCGCAACTTGTGTGTTTGCCTGTATGACTGTTGCTGTGGTCGCATCAGTTTATCTCAATTCTGGTGCCTTGCTAATGAACTTGCAATGTGAGATTGCGGACAATTCGCAGGGATGCGGCTGCTGTCTGCGGCAGGCGAGCGTTTCACGGTATCCTCTGGACGAAGGTGCTCATGGAGCAGACACCGCCCCGAGTTCAAAGAGCTGTTGCGCACGCGTTAGGGCGAATGCTAACAGCGGAATTAGTGCGACCTGTGCAACGGAGGTTTTCTCCCCGCGACCAGTTATGAGACAGCCGATGAGGTAAGCCAAATCATCCTTGTACAATCACGGTTCCAATAAATTTAAAAAAGAAAATTCCCAGAAAATAATTTAATGTAATGTATTAAAAAACAAAGTGTAATCCCTTCCATTATATGCTTATTTGGTACAAACGCTTCTTTCGAATTACCTTAGCACAGGATATTACTTGTGTTGAACATAAAAAAATAATTTCCTCACCTTGCTGCAAATATGTTGACAAACGGAATCTAAAAATGAATGTTATATAGAACAATTAACATTGTTTCCACATTAGGTATTTAGATAATTAAACAAGATAAAAATATCAATGAAAAATATGTAATTCGTCGGATAAAATATGATTAAACTCTCACGAAAAGAGAGTTACAATTCGTTTCGAGACACGAACAAAAGCTTACTTTCTACGAATGAATATCGGCGCTGCAGACACTGTGATACCGTTTCAGGGCACATGGCGGCCGGGCACAGCACATCGGAAGGTGGTGATTCCGATATACGTGCCTGCGAGGGCCTGAGGAGTGAGCGGGGGCACAGACTCTCCAAGCCCCTCTACGCTGCCCGCGCGCCCGCGCCTTCTCTGCCAGCGGACGCCTCCTACGTGCTCGTGGAGTGAGTTGCAGGCGGGGGAGGGGCGCGGCGGAGGGCATTTGGGGCAATGCACTCCACTGATCGACGTCCAATGTGGCGCCAGGACGGGCTGGGCGGCACTTGGGGCTACGAGCTGCGCACTAGGATGTGCAGCGCGGGCGCGTCTGCCACTGGTGGCCTGTGTCGCGGCGCGGCGTACACCACGGGCTACAGGCGCGCGCCTGCAGCAAGTGGCGCGCCAAGGACGTGCGCGCGCTCTGTGGCGCACCGACGATGCCTCCACGCGCCGCGCGCAGAGGGCCTGCTGCCGCCGCGGGCTCTGTCGCGCCCCTCGCCGCCATTCTTCAACCTGGCCGTGTCTGCGCGACGCGCTCTTCGAGAACCAGACGGCGGCGGCGTTCGAGCCGAAGTCGTTACGCGCTGCAAGGCGACGCCGGCTGTGGGTCTGCAATAAGCACTGGACGCGCGTCAGCCGGCCGCCATGCTGCCGCGCCCTATGCGCCACTTCGGACATATTGTGCTGGAGCTCGAGCGTGTCGTGGGCCGGCAAGCGGGCCAGACCAACTAGGGCTGGCGAACGGTGATGGAGCGCGTGGCGCGCGCGCGCGGCGGCGGAGGCTTGCCGGCCGCGCGGCTGCAGTGCGGGCGCTGGGCGTACTGGGCTGGTGGCCGACAATGCGCGACGGACGACCGCGATGCTGGAGATCGCGGCACGCTGCGCAGCGCCTCACTGCGTGCCTCGACCGTGCTGACGCTTCTTTGGTACGCAGACGCACGCCGTCGTGGCGTCCATGGTGGGTGCGGAGAGAAGCGTCGGGCGCGGGCGGATGACGATCTTGGTCACCACCATGGCCACCATGCTGGGCTTCCGCGACCTCAAGCACTCAGCTTGGAACAGACGCTGGCCGAGCTGGGCATGGACTTCCATGATGAGCGGT